GAAAAAACTACTGATGCAATTTTTGCTTTTATAGAGTGCAGGTAGAAAAGTTCATAGAAAGTCAGAAGGGGTTTCATATGTCTTTTGTGGACTTTTATGAAACAGTCAAGAGTGGCAGAGAAGTATGTCAGGGTCATGCAGAAGATACACCAGGCCGGGGGCCAATAGTAAGGTGTTCGGTCAGAGTAAATGATGGGTTGAAGGTTAGGGGTGGGTTTTCATCACGGATAAGCTTCCAAGCCCCATTTTGTTTCTTGTGTTGATGGACAGGTTGTTAGATAGAGGTCAGACTCCAGTCACCATGATGTTGTGTCCGGACATAATAATAATAATAATAATAATAATCGGTGGTGAGAGCAGAAACAAAGCGGAATAAAGGTCAGCAGGACCAAGACAGAATATATGTGCGTAAATCGGCAAAAAGTGGAGGTAGGAAAGGTGTGTGAGACAAAATGGAATGGGATAGAGATGACTGTTAGTGCTGATTTGTCACAAAAATGACAGCGAAGATAATGCTTTTTTTTCAATTTAGATACATATTTCTTAATAGTATCTCTTGTTTACTTAGCCTGGTCTATGTAGCTTTGATACAAATGACACTTTTTTCCCGAGATCTCCATTATGGGATTGTAAAAAAAAAAAAAAAAAAAAGATGTAGCTTTAATGATAGATGGTGGAAGAATGACGTTGTTTTGAAAGAGTTGGAAAAACAATGACCCAGTGGTTCTCAGACATGGCATTTTAGTCGGTGTTACTAATGTGTCTCTAACGGCTATTAATGCTGCTTTTCATAAACGTTTTTCCAGTATGTTTTTGTAATGGAGCCTAATTATATGCTCCTTCATCTTCCAGATTGCTCAGAAATATGACCCACTGAGGGAGGACGAGCTGCGCTCCTGGATTGTGGACGTAAGAGGAAATCCCATTGGGGGATAACTTTCAGAAGGGATTAAAGGACGGTGTCATCCTTTGCGAGTAAGATTGACTCTGGTACCCATTAACCTTAATAGGGACAACAGTCTGGTCCTCAAGAGGCACAATTGATGTAAACTAAGGTTGGACTTTTTCGACCTTTATTTTAAAGTAGTGATGGGCGATACCGGAATTTTTGATTCAGTACGATACCCATACCTATTACTTTTTGGACATATTTACTGATACCTATATCAATACATTGTGTGTTGTGGCCATTTAACAATTTGAATGTGTTAGTTGTTTATTAAAGAAGTGACTGATCCATTACCGCCATCACATGTTTAAAAGCTGCATTGTAACTGAGCCGTTCATGAATAACATATATCTGGTGTCTCCAGTTGATAACCTATGTGGCCCACAGGTGCAAAACTGAAAGGTTTGTTGCAGTACCTAGCGGTCCATCACTAGTTACAATCTAAACACCTGAGTGCTCTTAGTGACAATGAGAAATTTGCAATGCGGGTATACACATTTACTGTAAATAAGTTGATGTTGTGCTAAGTCAGATTTCAGATGTTTCTTGAGACTGTGTCTTGATACCTGTTGTACCTCGTTCTTCCTCTCAGACTGATCAATAAGCTTCAACCTGGGTCAGTGAAGAAAATTAACCTGTCACAGTGGAACTGGTCCAAGGTAATACCTATTTTGATCACACGCTTATGTTGAGATAAACTTATGGATGTTTTTTTTTTTTTTTTTTGCACCGATATGATGTCTGCTTCCTGTGATATGATGTCTGGATTTTTTTTGTGAACCTCACAGATTCTGTTTGTTTCTCTTGCTCCTGACAGCTGGAAAACGTTGGGAATTTTATCAAAGCTATCCTGGCCTATGGCCTAAAGCCCAGTGACATCTTTGAGGCCACTGACCTGTTTGAAAGTGGGAACATGACACAAGTGCAGACCACACTGCTTGCACTTGCTAGCATGGTGAGGGAACATTCAGTACAGAGGCTCAATGTCAGTTAGTCAACCTGCTTATTCTATAATTTTCTTTCTATTCAAAGGCGAAGACTAAAGGTTTGGACACAAGGGTTGACATTGGTGTGAAATACGCAGACAAACAAGCTCGACATTTTGACGACGAGAAAATCAAGGCTGGTCAATGTGTCATTGGTCTCCAGGTTAGTAAACACTGATGGTTAAAAGTTTCAATTTTTAGTGCTTTTTTCCGGCATGAATTCATGACATTATGCTCAATAAAGGTCAAAAACAGTAGCCTACTGACACTCAAGATTGCTACAGACAAGTGAAGGAGATGATTGCAAGCAACCAAATTGCAACGCCATTTACTAGCTAAAAGTAACATTTGAACTCATAATACAGACATATTTAGGAAAAGTCATGTAAGGACAGGGTTGTGTTTTTTTTAATTTCACAAAGTTGTTGATTATGTAACTTTCGAAACAGTCAAAATGACCGGCTTGGCTGTTCCAGACATATGATATGATACTTACTCTCTGCCTTTACTTTTTATTCTTAGATGGGAACAAACAAGTGTGCGAGTCAGGCCGGAATGACTGCTTACGGAACCAGAAGACATCTCTATGATCCAAAGACACACACCGACAAACCCTATGACCAGACCACCATCAGCCTGCAGATGGGAACCAACAAAGGAGCCAGCCAGGTCAACCTTGTATAGTATATGCCCATCTGTCGGTCTATCTAGATACACTAACTATATATATATATATATATACATATATACGTATATATGTATATATATGTATGTGTATATATATGTGTACAGTGAAACCTTGAGATACGAGGGCCTCGACATACGAGTATTTCGAGATACGAGCAAGCCTTCAAGTTTTTGCTTCGAGATACGAGTAAAGATTTGAGATACGAGCACTCTTACACATGCCGACACCAGGTGGCTAAGCCCTTAGAGCAGCCGACAACGCCTCACTCGTGCACTTCACGTGTTCGTCGACTTCCGTACACAAAGAATACGAATCGAAAAAAGCAACAAAAAAAAAATAAAATAGAAAAGTAAAAAAAAAAAAACCCACATAAGTTAATTCTAAGTTTATGTAAGTTACGTAGTGTACATGTAAGGTACGCTACGGAATCAAGTGTCTACATACTGGCCTTCCTCCCTCCTCCTCCTCTGCACATGCCACCAAAAACTAGAGTTTATTACATAATCTATCACAACCTCATATCAACACAATGTAACATTTCAGCTGAATTCTGTGCTTTTTTTTATAGGCGGGCATGTCAGCCCCTGGTACTCGAAGAGACATATTCGACCAGAAGGTGGCTCTCGTGCCAGCAGACAATTCCACCATCTCGCTTCAGATGGGGACAAACAAGGTTGCATCCCAGAGGGGTATGAGTGTGTATGGCTTGGGTAGACAGGTCTATGACCCAAAGTACTGCGCTGCCCCAACAGAGCCCATTATCCATACCAACGGCAGCCAGGGCACTGGCACCAACGGGTCTGAGATCAGCGACAGTGACTATCAGGCCGACTTCCAGGAGGACGAATACCATGGAGGTTATAATGACAACTACAGCCCCCATTACAATGATCAAGGCATTGACTATTAGTAGCCAGCTCCACATTCAGAGCAGTATTAACAATTGTATGTCACTAATACAACAGAGCAAATCTTTTGCTATCTACACCTGTCTTCCTAGGTACAGGGTATAGAGCTTGTCCAGTCCAATGGTTTAAACACCAAGATTTGGATAAAAGAGTCAGGCCTGACCAATAATGAGAAAAGTATAACCTGGGCCTTATTTTCTTGGATTGATTCTATTGAAATAAATGTTTTGTTTTTTTTGTTTTTTTTTACTCGCCTACAGTTTTTTTTATAAGCAGTAAAGGTAATGGTTCATTGTCTTTAACCTCCAGATAAAAAACAAAAATTATGTCAAGTTCCAAAAATCCAGTATCACTGAATGACCAGGAAGCATTTTTCCAACGTGTATGTCAAAACAGTAAAATATATGTATGTGCCTTTTACGCTGTTTTTACTCTGTTGTTACTTAGCTAGGTGTTTTAGATATTTCTTGTCTGTTTTACAGCATTCAAACACTAGTAATTTTTTTTTTTTGGCCTAAAATAAGGAGCACGTAAATCCAGATGGCTGTCGGATTATGACAAGTGACCACTGAAGCAGACTCGGTTTTGTACGAAAACTTCCAAGTGCCCTCGTTTGATCATTATTTTAACAGTTCCACTTGTATTCCAAACTGTATTTATTGTGATTCTCATTACAAAACAGTCCATTGTTTTATGGTTGCCCTAATAGGAATGGTAAAATGTTAATAAAAATCCAGAATTTGAAAACCTGTCTGCATACTTCTACTTTATTGCTGCTACTTTAAATGGGTAAATACCTGACCATCCCTGGAAATACTGTAACTTGGACAGATTTTTTTTTTCATTGTTGCTACTTTAAATGGGTAAATACCTGACTGAAATACTGTAATTTGGACAGATTTTTTTTTTCATTGCAACCTTGGGGCAAGGGTGGTCATTTTTTTTCCTACTCTTTGCAGATGATATAGTGCTGTTATTGAACTGTTTATTAGCCAAACTGTCCACGGTAAGGAAAACTTTAATATACTTTATCTGTAGCACAGTTAGGAAGTGGGCTAACTCAGTAGGAGCTGTAGAGTTTGGTCGGTCTGTGCAGGTAATGGTCCAGTCTTGATGTAAATGACGGTATTTTCAAGCTCCAGATCTTCTGGGGTGCTATCACAGCATTTTTCTTACAACAGAAGTAGACGTTTTCTACAATATTCAATCCTGAAATTTTGACCAATATTGGACCGAGCCCGAGTATTGGACCAAGCCATCCCTAAATTGGGGTGATGTTTTTTGGATTAACATTGGTTTTACAAAACCAGCATCCTATCAGTTCTGTTGTTCAGCGGTGAATCCTGGTCAGTATATGACAGACAGGATCACCAACTGAACTATCTTCTTTTCTGCTGTCTAAGTAACATCCTCTGACCCGTTGGTCACTCCTCGTCTTAGCATTTAACGACACTTGGATAGAACTGGCTGAGGACCAGATGGGCACCATCACCACCATTGTCAGCGTTCTCTCACACTTTGGAAACTGCAATTAAAAATCAATTCTTTTTTGGAGTTGATTCCTCTTTGGGTTTTGTCCATCTGGTTTGGTGTTTGATAAACATCATACCTTCGGTATCATTTTCAAAATTAAATCATTTTCAAAAATGTAATCAGTTGACAGCCCTATCAGTTTAACCCTCCAAAGCCTTTTTCCACATCCAGGTCCGGAGTCCTGCCCTTCTGTTTTGTCTTGTGGTCCTCTCAACTATGTGTTAAAAATGCAATCTCTATAGAACTCTAATTTGATATTTTCAGTTCTATGTCTATGTCAGAGGTTCCTAGAGGGTGGGCTTATTGCCATTGTAGGAGGGAGGGTGGCACAGATGGGATGAACGAAAGAAACGGATGGATGGATGGATGGACTTTACATACAGACATGACAAATCGAGTTGTGGAAATGTGAGGTTTTTTTTTAGCTGGAAGAAAGAAGGAGATTGATTTCTTATTTCGAATTTTATTCAGAAAAATGCTTATTATAGACAAATATGTTAATTTGAATTCCATTGTCTTTTTATTCAAATGATTTTTTAAAAAAGAACATATGTGATTTACATGAAATAATGTTGCTTATGGTCAAATGTGCCTTTTTTTTTTACATCCATGCCATTATTTAAATTGAATTTGAGTAGCATCCTGTTGTAACGCGTGATAGGAGTGCCTCTTGTGACTTGGACTTCCTTGTCCTGATCCTCCGCCTTCTCCCATAATTCTCTCTGGCAGACCAATCGGGAAACTGTTGCTCGTGGAGATGCCTCAGCTTGTCAGCCTCGCAAAAATACTTGTCTTTGACTGACTGCAACAACAACCTCCACCGCTGACCAATCACAGTGTTCACCACCGCGTTGTCGGTGACTTTCAGCTCCGCTACCACATTTGGTCTCTGCTCTTTCATGAAAAGCATGAATGCGTTCGGGGGCTTCTTGATGTAAGGTAGTCCATCTTCCGGCTGCCTGTGACGTCTCCTTTTGAGGTGGTCCACTGGAGAAGCCGAGGGGAAGATGGTATTGAAAGCCTCGGGTGGAAGGCTGTACACCACCTCTCCGTTGATTGTTCCCACTGGAACCAGGTTCCCAAATGTGTTGTTGGGCCCCGGTACACAAGTATGGTACTGTTGGTCATTGTGGGGCTTTTCTGGAACGATGTCATTTGTAAACTTGGGATGGGGGCAAGACTGAATTGGTGCGCGAGTCAGTTCGTTCAAATGTTGTACTTCCGTGTTCCTCTGTGTTCTCTGTTCTTTCAAATTCATTTTCTTCCTTCTTCTTCTCTTAGGTGTAGGGAGGAGACAAGGCTCTGCTTGTATGTTTGGAGTAGAAGGTGTCAATGAAGGGTAGGGGTAACGCCAAATGTCGAACGGTACACTAGGATGCAGGGGCGGTGGTGGGAGTCGGGTGCAAGGCACAGCTGACACAGTCAAAGGCAGAGGAGCAGCCAAGGAGCCGTGGTGTGTATTTGATTGTACAGTAGGAGGCAGAAGAGGCGGAGGAAGGTGGAGGCATGGTTCAGGTGATGCGGTAGGGATACGTGGAGGGTTAGGAGTACACCACAACTCATCTGGTCGTGTACAAGAAGAAGAAGCTGGGGGAGGATAAGGGCATGGTCCAGGTGTTAGGGTAGGCGGAAGAGGAGCCGTGGGTGGGAAATGGAACTCACCCCATGAGTAAGCGGAAGGGGTGAGAGGAGAAGGGGGAGTTGCAGGCACGTTGGTTGTCTCTCCCAGGAGCTCGTTGACAATTGCCTGCAAGGGGTCAAGCTCGTCACTTCCTTGTAGGGCGTTCAAGGTGAACTCCAGTTC